TGGGAAGAGATTAACCAAAGAACTTATATGCATACATGCATAACCCATGAACACAGACAATAGTGTGGGGAAGGCCGGGAGCGGGTATGGGGTAGAAGGGGTCAAGGGGGAAAAAGTGGGACATCTATAATACTTTCAACAATAAAGACAAATTTTTCAAAAAAAGTTTTCAAGGAAAATATCTTAAAATCAATAGTATCCTAATAGTAAGAATACCCTCTCTGTTTTTAAAGGCTTCTTACTATCCTCTATAAGCCTATAAACCCTGTATTATATAACTTCTTAGTTGACAAAGAATAAAAACTAGAAACTAGTATTGTTTTGACTCTTAAATTCCCACACCAGCAGACTTTTCTCTGATGTTGAAATGAAAATAGTGACCAAATGCTTTGATGGACAACTCATTACAATGAGAACTGAAGGCTTCTGAAACCAGACAAAGATTTTTCTGTATCTCCCAGATGCCAGGGAAAATTAGGGAAATATTTCAGTCTCTCACCCAAGAATTAACTTTACATATGCGCTTTTAAAAAAAGTACTTTAGAAATTATTGAGATCAAGGTACAGTTTGTTAAAAGCCGAAAATGTTCTCAAAGCAAGGAAGAAAAAGAATTTTTTGAGAGAAAATAAAAAGAAACAAGGGGAAAGAAATCTTTCAACAGTAGAAACTGTTAGTCTGTCTCTGTGCCCTGAAAGGTTTTGATCCAACCCTATTTGTTACCCTAGAAAAGCTCTTCTGAAGAAAGGTTTCAGTGTAAGAACTGCCTGAAAGAAGCCAACCCTCTGGAAGTACGAACGGCTTGGCCATTTATTAATGTCAAATATGCTGCCCGCATGAATTAGTCAGCTGTCTTTTGGAAGCCATACAGAAAAGTTCTCATGCACCTGCCTCTTAGTGTCCTGACACTTCTGGCTTTGATGACAGCAGCAACCACCACCAGAAAATACAAGTTTTTTTTTTAAAAAATGCTGAACATAACTACATTCTACCTTCTGAATAGTTGATTCATCAATTTTTAAAGGCTGCTTACTGAAGTATCATTAGTGGCCACCACATATAAAAGCCTGATCTGATGTAAAAGGAAGCAAAACAGTCATTTTTCCTAAACTGGCAAATGGAACCAAATTACCACAAAACTGACCTTAGAAACAAAGAGAAATGGAGCAGAAAAAGGCCAGATTTCTTACTGGCAGTACCACAGTGGCAAATATCCCAGAACTAAGGAAAGCTGCCAACTAGAAGAGAGAAAATTAAAATTCTTTCCAAAAGCAGCCAAGCTCGGTGCACATAGTATTCCCCACAGCTGGAATGAGCTTCAGGAGGAACACACAGGTATAACATCCAGCCTTATTCTTTATTTACAGCACAGTTCAAAGTCTTTAAATCAAGTACAAAAGAAATGGCTCCTATACCCTGGCTTGGCATCGGACACCCTATCAGCTGCAATTACCTCATTTTTATCTATCTTCTGCTTTTCTTTTTGGGAGGCAGGAGTGGGGAATGACAAATGAGCCAAAGAGACTTGTCTCAAAAGCAAGAGAAATCCCTACTTGCAGAGGAACAAAGAAACTGACTCTCCCTCTTGTGAAAGGCAGTCAGGAACTCTGCCCCAGTTATGAGGGCCACTGATGGTGAGGGACAGCTGTCACAAAGAGTCTTCCTGGAAGTGGTGCAAAGATGGCAAGAACCTGGGGTATGGGGTGGCTGCTGTCGCCACCATCACCCTCTCTTCCTTCTCAACCTCTTTCTTACCAAATCTAATGATAAACAAAGGAAAGTAATTATGTGTGGAAAACTAAAGTGGATGGGAATGTGGGTGGAATGAACATAAAAGAAGAAACTGAAAACGATCAAAAGTTGCTCATTACTTCTTTCTCAGACTGCCATAGAAATCTCTGATCCACTGCTTCATGTATTTAACTTCCAAAGAGCGGGCTAATAGCACAGTCATGGGATCAAAGGCATTGTTGGCTCGGAGATCTAGATGATGGGCTCCCTCTGGGATAGTGATGGCAACCAAGGTGTCTGAGATGTTCTTGGTTATTCCACCTCCTGACCAGGGATCTAGGTCACCATTGCTAAGTGAGGGAAAGAAGAAAAAATAAGATTATTAGTTTTTCATGTCTATATCCAGATAAGATAGGAGAAACCTATTTTATGTATAACATCTAAAATTATAAACTTATAAATTGGGGTATTTGATCTGAGGACCAAATCTGTCCTATGAAAATGTGATCCATTCTGGAGTTTTATAATACTTCTGCAATCAAGTACAAGAAATAGGACCCAAGAGTGAAGGTAGTGCCCCATGAATCAATCCAGACTATACAGGAAATCAGAATCTAGAAGCCTAAACTCCAACCCCAGCTTCATCACTCAAAAGCCATATGACCTTCCTCCTCTATAAAAGAGATAACAAGGCCAACTTCATACGGTTGTTACATGGGTTAAACCAGATGGTACATGTGGATGTATTTAATAAGCACAAGTGTCGGCACAGGCACATAGCAGCCCCTTAATGAGAGTTTCCTTCTTTCCTAGGACCCAACTATCAAAATGATAAAGAAAAACTCTCATATTTGAAATGCTAATTATCTCTTAGCTCTTTAAAAAAATAAAACTCTTATTTTTCATACAATACTTCCCTTATAGTACAGTACTTTGGGAAATAGGGTGATAGAACTGAAAAATTTCCTCCAAATCTGAACCAGAAAATTTGGTCATTACTCAAAGATCCCCATTTTACTTTAGCTTTAAAGTTAAGAAAATGGTATTAGGTTATTAATACTGGCTGGTTCACACAACGTATTTCAGAATGATGTAAATAGGATCAGTCATTGAAACAGGCTATGCTATTTAGTTTAGCTGAGTAAAAATCCAATAAGATCACAGACAGCATCCCTAATACTATTTCACAGCTTTGTTGCAATATATTTCACCACAGAACTCACCTATTTAAAATGTACAATTCAATGGTTTTTAGTATAATCAGAGTTTTATAACCATTACCACAATTTTAGAACATTTTCATCATCCCAAAAAGAAACCCATACTCACCAGCAGCCAATAATCCCCATTCCCCTCCCTCAAACTCCCTCATTTTCAACCACAGGCAATCACTAATCTACTTTTTGTATATATAGATTTGCCTAATCTAGATATTTCATATAAATGGAATTATAACTTAGGTGGTCTTTTGTAATTGGCTTCTTTCACTGTGGTATAATGTTTTCAGGTTTCATACATGTTGTAGTATATATCAGTACATTATTCCTTTTTATTGCCAAATAACATCCCATTGTATGAATATGTCACACTTTATTTATCCATACATCAGATGTACAATTTGTGTTGTTTCCACTTTTTTTCTATTACCCATATTGCTCCTATGAATATTCATGTACAAGTTTTTGCATGGATACATGTTTTCATTTCTCTTGGGTATAGACCTAAAAATGGAATTTCTGGTACATGTGGTGACTGAACCTTGTGAAGAACTGCCAAACTATTTTCCAAAGTGGCTGCACCATTTTACATTTCCCATTAGCAACATATGAGGGTGCCAATTTCTCTATGTCCTTGCCAACACTTATCTTTTTGTTTTTATTTTTTTATTTAAGTATAGTTGGTATAAAATATTATATATTAGTTATATTAGTTTCAGGTATACAATATAGAGATTCAATACTTTTATACCTTTCAATGTGATCACCCACTAATTCTAGTGATCATCTAGTGATCATCATACTTACTCTGTTACACTTATTCCTAAGTATTTCATTCTTGACATTGTTGTAAATCAAATTGTTCCCTGATATTATTAACTCCACACATGTATAGACTGGTTTAGAGTTTACAAAGCCTTTCACATTTGACCCTTATAACAATCCTGAGAGGTAGGTTTAATGATAATTCTTTTATAGGTGAGAAAACTAACACCCAAATCATTCAGCTAGCAATGGCAAATCTGATATACAAGCTCAGGTCTTATAGCCCTAGTCCAGTGCTCGATTTTATACTACATTACATTTCATGGACACATGATTGCTGTTGGAAATCAACAGCACATACCCTCTTGACTTGTGTGGTGCACAGTAAAAAGAGCATGAGTTTTGGGATCAGACACACCTGGGTCCCATTCCCACCATCCTCCCATCTTCCTAATCTTGGGGAAACTTAGATTTCTCAAGACAAAATAAGGACGAAAATACCTGGATTTAAGTACCTGGCCCTTGGCATTGTACTTTTCCCTTACATGGCACCTCTTAGAAATCTTTATCTACATATCATTTGAAATAACAGAACATTTTAATGTATATTCCTTCATCTCTGTGAATTGCAACACTGTCCTAGTTGCACAGGCCAAAAAGTTTTGTGTTGCTCTTTAATCTTCTATTTCTTTTTCACCCAATCTGTCAACAAATTTTGTCAGCTATATATTCAAATATATCCAGAATTTGAACACCTCTCACCAAATTCACTACTACTCCGATCTAAGTCACCATTATCTCTGGCCTGAATAGCCTTTTACTGACCTTCCTCAGCTACTCTTATCTCCCTGCTAACAGTAGAGCAGCAATTTGATCCTATTAAAGCCTGAATTAGATTATGTCGCTCCTTTGCTCAAAACATTCCAAGTTTTCCCATCTCATTCAAAGTAAAAACCAAAGTCCCTACTAAGACCCACAAGCCTCTATAAGATCTGGGCCCTCTGCTGACTATGATTTCAACTCCTGCTACTATCCCTCATTAACTACTCCAGCCACACTGACCTCTTTACTATACCTGGAGGAGAACATGCTGGGCACATTTACCTCTCAAGGTCTTTGCCCTTGCTAACTCCTCTTTGTAGAGTGCTCTTACTCTACACCAAACTCATAGCTATCTAGGTCCAGGGATCCAGATCATTCTCTGAAAGTCACTCCTTGGTGAAGTCTTCCTTGGTCACTCTTATCTAAAATTTCAAACCTGCCTCCCCTACACCCCCCAACATTTCATAGCTTTTTTCCCTGGTTTATTTTTTCTCCTTAGCACTTATCTCCTAACTTACTTACAGGTGCTATCTTGTTTATTATCTGTCTCTCAAACTAGAACTCCCCAAGGGCAGCGATTTTTGTTTGCTTTGTTTATTACAGTAGCTTCAGTGCCTGGCACGTGGTAGAAGCCATGCAAATATTTACTTGAATGAATGAAAAAAGAATGTTAAGTGTCTAGTTGTCTTTGGCCAGATACCAGATGCCCTACACAAAAGAGATCTATAAATACATGTATGCAAGGTCAGGAACATGTAAATCACTTCAGTGCTTTTTATATGACAAAGCAGAATTAATATAAATGATTAATATAAAGAGACTTTCACCTGTGTGTAGGAGTGGCAAGAAAAATTAACTAAGTCAGCAGATCTAAGGTTTATACCCTTTCTAGCCACATTATTTTGAATAAGTCACCTGGCTTCTCTGACCCTCAATTCCCACATGTATTATCTGCCCCCCTCAAAATTTTTAAAGATAGTGCCCCTCCCTCACGGAGATATTGTGGGGTCCAAGTTAAATAATATATGTGAAAGGTATAAATTACAAAATACCACAGAAATGTGCGGTATTATAATTATTATCATATTCTGTAAGCATGAGAAGTGTTAATACTTCTGAGAGGTAAATGAATCATGAAAAGGGTTGTGAAAGCACTTCTCATAGAAATTGTGACAGAAAACTAATGCAATCAGATTTTTCTAGGCAAATGTATAAATTAAATGAAAAAATATGGAGTTAGGTACATTAAATATATGTGTGTTTGAAATGCAAATTTAAATTCCCACCACAAATTCTCACTACACTTTTCTTAAACTATATATATGTTTTTTAAAAATTCAATTGCAACTTAATAACATCATTCTTGAAGGAAAAAAGTAAATCCCAAAATATACTTTTTTGGTTTTATTAAAAACCAAAAGGAAAAACTCACATGCAAAATAGGATCCTTAGTTTTCAACTGCCAAATATATTTTTAAAGTAAACTACACAAGGGGTTGGATTCTCTTAAGTGAACAAATAGCCTTTATAATTATTCCATTTTAACAGGACCAAACCGATTAGGAAACTCTCCATTATTTGCAAAACAAAAAAGCCATCCTAACAGCCACATAATAAGCAAACTGCATTTGATTTAAAAGGTCATCTGAATCAGCCTAGTGACTTAGCAACAGTGTTTGGAGTTGCTGAGAGACCTAAGATGCACATGGACTTGAATTTCTTGGTCCTAGACATGTGAAAGTTAAACCAGCCACTGAGAAATTTACAAAAAAAATTACTAATAATGGCTTTCGTGAGAAAATCTAGATGCCTGGACAAAATTTCCAACAGTAAGCTTCACTTAATTGCTGGCAATAATTAATTTGCCTGAAAAATGATGTTAAATCAATCAGCTTCTCAGGAATTCCCTTTCGGATTTATATTTAAATAACTGAGAATGACGACTGGGGTAAGATAATGTTACCAATTAGGGTTGGGGAAAAAATTAATCCTTCCAACAAAACCACTATAGAAAAAAAAATTGCTGAAATGAAACTATTAATAGCTACTATTTCTTAAGTCCTCATTCATTCAACAAATGTTTATTGGTGCCTACTCTGTGCCAGGCACTGACTGGGCACAGGGGATTCAGTAGTGAACAGACAAAAATCTCTGCTCTCGCATCACAGCGATCCCTTCCATAATAGTTGCTCTATGCCCTGGAATAAACCTGTCAGGCAGTCATTATTTCTAACTTATATAAATTGGCAATCTGCCTGAGGCCACACAGCTAACTTGGTGAAGGAGACCAGCACCCAGGTCTCCCTGACTTCAAAGCCCAAGCTCTTAACTGGCAAATCTCCAATCCAGCAATTACAGACTGAACTTTCCAATCAGAAAAGCAGTCATGCTTGTATTTGTGTGAGACAACCTAAGGAGAGAAGCATGGACATAAAGATATTTTCATGGTTCCTTGGACTTTTTCTCACTCATCACCAGAAATGTATTCTAGCTGGTAGCCACTAAGTACACAGAACAGAGACACCTTGAGACTGCTCCTTGACTCTGGAAATACGCTTTCTTCAGAAAAACAGGGGAGCTCTGAATTTTTAAATAAAATTTTTTACATTAGATTTTTCACCTAGAAACATATGGAAAAAGATTTCTTTTAAAAGTAGACTTGCCACTGCAGAAAGATATACCAGCATCTTTACACAGTCCTGCCTGGAAGCTTTCACATGCCTCTGAAGCCTTCCTGCGCTTTGTATCTCATCCCTCATCCCCATCAGCGCACTTACTGACTGTGCGGGCATTACGTGCCAATCACTGCAGCAGGCACTAAAGGCACAGAGATGATTAAGACAGTCTCTGCCATTAAGAAGTTCACAATCTCATGTGGACAGAAAAGTCTTTTCTTATACTGAACTGTTAGAAAGTCCTTTCTTATACTGAAATAAAGGTTTTTAATGCTGAACTACAATTTCCACCTAATTGTTTCAGTTCTATTCCCCAAACTTTTCTCACAAAAATCTGTCCCCCTCCCAGTGGTGATGATGATGATGATGATGATTATTTTGATAGCCTGAGGAAAATAATATGAGGACAAATGGATAACTAAAATACATATCTGTAATGGTTGAATCCAATAAAAATGGACAATGTATTGGACCAAAACTCATATATTAAAATCTTCATACAAGGATTTAAAGACTCCACTTTATAATTCAACTTGAACTTCAGCTTTATAAGGTCAAAGCAAGAAAGGATGAGCTCAAAGTGTCAACATGCTAGAGAAATACATATAAATACTACATAGAGATCGCAGCCTCCTAAAGAAAAACAAGAAATTGACCAAGTACTTCCTCCTCTGAGGGACAAAGATAAACTTGGAAACCCTAGGCTTGCACTTAAACCTTTTATAGTCCTCTCAGTCCTTTTACCTTTCCCTAATTTCAAATACCTGAATCTCGCAGTTTCCTTAAATGCCCTAAATAGATTTATTTGTTCAACTGTCACTTTTATAAGGCTAAGCTGAAGACTATGGTTGTGAAGAATCCTATTGAGAACAAGGAGCACAATTTAAGGAAATTAAACAAAAAGAATGTTTAAGTTTTCCATTAAAGTGTTTCACCTTTTATTTTGGGTAGGTACCCTGCTGAGTGAGAAAACAGCATCAATCCAGTAAGATAGATTGCAAAGTAGGCGATGTGAATGGCCTAAACCCAGGGAGTGATCCTTCAGTCAAAACAGCACTCCTTAATCCTAAAAGCTATTGAAAATATCCTGAAGGCCAAACCTGACTCTTGTTTATAAGAGCTTGTAAAAGAATGACATTTACAATTTACACAATAGCTCCAGGTTAAGAGATGTGTATGGGTATCTCTCTATTACCTCCATATAGATTTGGGGAAATTTTTTTATTAACTGGTTGCTATTCTTAATAGCTGACAACATGATATACAAGCCAAAACATAGAAATTTTGAAGGCACAATCAGATACACATAGTCTACTCAAATAACTCTGCTCAATACCAAACATGTCACTATAGAAGCAGTGTCACACAGAAGAACAAACAGGATTTTTGTAGTCAAATCGGTTGAAATCTGGCTTTATTAGTAACTAAAACAAAGCTAGATGAACTTTGGCAAGTGACTGAACACAGTGACCCTGACTTTCCTCCTCAGTAAAAACAAACTATAACAACTTCACAGGATTATTGTGAGGGGTCAATTTTAGGTAATTTATTTAAAGTGCCTCATATAGTGCCTGGAACAGAAGACAGTGAGCACTTCAAAAGGGCTTGTTGAATAGACACTAAAAAAATTTTATTACCATTAACAATGGTAACAAAAGTAAGACAAATTGAGAACAAATGATGCTTCATTTTGTGCTGGGGAGTTTTTAAAAATATTTTCATTTTGTTGCTGTGTTGTTTTCAAGCCTTTAGGCAGATAGGTAATGGAATGTAAAGTCGTATTTCTTCTCTGCATCCTCTACCTTTCTTTTTTACAAGAGTTTATTCGAGCCAAACTGATGACATGCCTGGAAGCAAGATTTCAAATGCTCCCAGCATCCTCTATCTTTCAAGTAATAGGAAAACAGGATACCACTGGTTGTATTCTATATTATTTTACTGTCCAACATTTTTCCTGGTTCTATTTTCTCAGCTATTCTACAAATGTCTCCATCAACCAAAGTTTTTCTTTGAACCAGCAAAAACTCACCTGAAAATGATGTTTGTGTGGGAACTGATGTCTTTGCCTCCATACATAGAAGTGACCCAGGAGGCCCTGGGTCTCACATTCCACTGTCTGTAACAATCCTCTGAATACTTCTTCAAGTCCCACGAGTGAGGTTCAAACATGTCATCAATACCATTGGTACAAAAGGGCATCACCATTTCTGTGCAGGCCTGAGAAAGCAAATCAGAAGAATCTAGTGAAAAAATAAGGCACAAAGAAGTTAAATAAATTGTCCAAGGTCATACAGCTAGTAAGCAGCAAAGCCAGGGTTTAAACTCGGGCAGTCACCTCTCATTAGTGCTGGAAAGGCTCAGTCGAGAAAGAAATCACAGAAGTTAGAGCTATATATTCCTTCTTTGTAAACTGTTTTCTTTCGCATCTATTATAACTATGGAAGGAAAGTATTCATATTCTTATAATTCTCATTGTACAAACGAAGAAACAGTCTCATAGAGAATCAAGTTAGACTCCCCTTCTTTTATGTGTCGATAAAATGTTTTCTTTATATGACTTATCAAGATCTATTGTAATATTAGTTACGCTTCTTTTTCAACAAGCTATATTTGATGATATGATCATGTCTTACTTATCTTTGTATCTTGGAGTGTAGCAGGGTGCCTGGATCATGGCAAGTACTCAGAATATATTTGGTGATGATTACATACATGAATGAATGAATGAGAAAATTTATCCATGGTTTCAGAGACCACATTGAGATCCAGATTAGGTAACAAAATCTTGTGAACTCTCTTTTACAGCATAACCACATCAGTGAAAAGTAAGTTCCACTTGGGGAAATTATACATACCTGATAGCTCCAACCCTGGGATCCCAGACGGCTACTTGTTGTCTCTGAGGTATTCAGGCATCTTGCCTGGCCTGAATAATTATAATATACATTCAGAGCTTTGAAAATATTCTTTACTAACTGTGTATCAGATACATGGGGATTTTTCAAATACTGGCACACCATCTGTCATTTTAGAGAGATAAAAAGGAGAAGAGTCAGAATATAAATATAAATTATAATGTAATAAAACAGAAAAGACATATGACTTTGATTTGATCATAAAACAACCTTACGCATTTAACATGCACTACTTGACAATTTCTATCTTTTAAGTATAATTCCCTTCACAAATGAATAAACCTTTTAAATTACTCCCCAAGCTATAGAAATAAACCAAAGTCATATGCATAGCATGTAAAGTCTTCCCTACCTACCATTCTAGCTTCAACTCCTATAGCCTTTGCTCCAGCCTAGCAAAACCATTTCCAGCCCACCAAGCTCTTTCCTTCCTCTGCCTTTGTGCACCCGGAAATGCCCTTCTCCCTCTCTCCAACTCAACTAGTGCCTGGCAAACAACAATTCATCTTCCACAATCCTCAGCTCAAGTATCACCTCCCCTATGAGGCCATCATTGTTTATGATCTCAACTCAGGGAAAACCAAATCACTCCCTTCTTCATGCCTCACTATGCCCTGTGCCTATTTCTATCAGAGCCCCTATAATGCTGGATAGCACTCATTTGATTCCAGAATGTCTCCCTCACCACTTACTTAAGCAAGATATCTAGTAAATAAATGTTTGCTGAACAACTGACTACATTTTTATAAAAATATAAGATTTATAAAATCTCTTATGGAAAAACTACACCAAGTTCCAATGTCTGTGGTATGATAAGCAGATCAGGCAGCTTCCCAGCTCCCAAATACTTCCATCACTGGACTATAATCTGTACCTGAAACTCCAGTACTAAAAATCAAAGACAATCCTCAGGGTTGGGAGTGAAGGCAGGGACTGAGACTGACTAGACAGGGGCAAGGGAAGCTTTCGAGGGTATGTAAGTATTCCATATCTTCATAGGGGTCTGGACTACACAACAAACAGTACACTTACAATCTGTACATTTTACGGTATGTAAATTTTACCTAAAAAATCACAAACACTGAACTCTAGTTAATGACATTAAAGCTGATTTAGGAAGTATACTGATGTCTTCAACTTATTTTGAAATGCATTTAAAATAAGATAACACTGTCCTGGTTGAAGTGGCTCAGTTAGTTGAGCACTATCCCATGCACCCACAGGTTGCCAGTCCAATTCCCGGTCAGGGCACATGCCTGTGCTGTGGGCTCAATCGCTAGTAGGGGACGTGCAGGAGGCAGCCAATGGATGCTTCTCTCTTACTCTCTCTCCCTTCCTCTCTCTCAATAGAATTATATTCTAAAAAAAATAAGAGTAAGATGGAATGAAGGATACACAGAAGAATGGATAGGAGAATATATATATATATATATATATATAT